AAGATAGTATAGGGACTTATGGGATGCGTTCTCCGAGAACTGCTTTCCATCATATTGCACGTTGACATGGATGATACTAATGTTCTGCCTGAAAAAGCTACCATGATTGCTTAACTTCCAGCAGTTTATCTGGATGTAAATCCATAAGTCCATAAATCTGAGCCAGCACCTCGTATTAAAGCTATAGCGGAGGAACATTTGTGAAGTTTACAGGGGATAAATACCATGCAGATTTACACTGCAGATGGATCCAAGTGTCCAGCGTACGGTCATGTTGGTGCTGGAGTCTTCAGTGTAAATGACAAAAGAGAAATTTCAATGCAATTTTCTGAACACTTGTCAGTATTTTCAGCTAAACTTGGAAGAATCATTGAAGCGTTGTGTCGGATTCATTTCGCACGGCCTGTGTCAGCGGTCATTTTTAGTGATTCTGTCAGTGCTTTACAAACAATTCGGGTAGGTTCTTCCTCAGCGAGGCAGGAATTAATCAACATAATACTCGATCTTCTTTATGAAATAAGTAAACATCTTTTAGATGTCGAATTTTCATGGATACCTGCTCATGTTGGGCGGCATGGAAATGAGAAGGCTGAATAATTGGCAATAGCTGCATTAGACTTTGATGAGTCAGAACAGGAGGAGACATTATTACCTTCTGCCGAATTAGGTACCGTCAGTAAGATCCATGCTAACACAAAATGGCAACAGAGATGGGCGTCATCCTTAAAAGGACGTCATCTCTATGGCAACAAGCCTTTTATAAATAATACATTACAAATATCTCAAAACAATCAGAGAGAGAAGGTTCTCTTAACCGGACTTCGTCTTGGGCAATGTGGTCTTGGTGCATATCTAAATGTTATCAATAAAGACATTTCTGCACATTTGTCAGTGTGTAATCAGCTGGACAATGTGGCTCATTATTTATTGCATTGCAAAACATATGTTAATCAACGTAAGGAAATGGTGGAGTCTCTCTTAATTCTCAATATTGACCTCTCTTTGGCTGGACTATTATGTTCTAGGAATATCGTTCACCATGAAGATCAGAATGCAATTCTTGCTTATATTAAACCGTGTGGCAGTTTTGATTCTTTATGACACATCTTGGAACTAAGCAAACCTTTATAATGGGCAAGGTGTAAATGGGCCTAGTTGCTCGAACACCTATCAACTTTTAATGATCAATCAGTCAATTATGTTCACAAACACATTTCTCAAGAACAATGACATAATTTGTTGTAGTGTGTAGTGTAATTATGTTAAGCCTCGAGATCCTAAATTATTCTAAACGTGAACAAAGTCTTGAAATTAACAACCTGCTAAACAATGTAGACCTCAGAACAACTATGAACAGAATCACATTGCAATAATCAGTTTGATAGGAAAACATCATTCCAGTACTAAATGGAAATTTTAGTAAAACATCATAATACAACGTGGTGACCTGTAACCGGAAGTAACCATCAAACAGCTACATGTTTCAGTCAAAGTGTTAACTGTGATTCACTTTGGCAATTTATATAATGTCTAAATAGTTTACAAATTCATCATTATGATGATCAAAACGTTTCGGAGTATAAGCTAACTCCTTCATCAAGTGAATAACCTTTGCTTGTCTCAGTGGGGATGAAATGGATCGGGTGGTCAATTACCTTTGCTTGTCTCAGTGGGGATGAAATGGATCGGGTGGTCAATTACCTTTGCTTGTCTCAGTGGGGATGAAATGGATCGGGTGGTCAATTACCTTTGCTTGTCTCAGTGGGGATGAAATGGATCGGGTGGTCAAGCTCTGTGACTTGGTTGATTTCATGTCCACTTACCTGATATCAGTCACTGGATTGCCTGGACCACACAGCAGACTCGCATGGTATAAGCTGCCGTCTTAAAGCTGTAATATTGCTTAGTGCAGCGAAACCGTCAAGCAAACAATAAATACTTATCTGCTGACATCAAGGTGTAATCAGGTTTGTATGTTTAACGCAACACTCAGGAATATTCCAGCTCTATGACCGCGGTCTGTAAATAATCGAATCTGGACTAGACAATCCAGTGATTGACATCATGCGCATTAATCTACGACATGTAGAACAATTTACCAAGTTAGCAAGCCTGATCCATTCAGTCGCCTCCTACGGCAAGCCTGTGATCCCGGGGGCGTATATCCTTGCCTGTACTCCCCATGTTGTGTGTGATAAAGGAGGGACCCTATTGTTTATTTTGTAGGGTTAGGGGAGGGTTTGGTCTACACCGGCTCCATCGTCATTCTGGGCTTCTACTTCCGAGATCAGGTGAGAAAGCGTGCGTGCGTGCGTGCGTGCGTGCGTGCGTGTATACTCTCCTCATTTCTACACGCGAGGGTAATTATTTTTTCTTTATATAATGCCATGTTCAACATCAGTTATGTTCAAAACATACTTTCAGTCAAAGGGTGCTCACATAACCACGAGGCCGCCATCTTCTCCGTAACGTCCTAAAAAGCCGTTGTTAGATGGTAGTGTGATGTATTGTTACACACTCAACTTTGTTCAGGGGTCGCTAAAGGAGTAAACAAGTGTGTGTTTTGCTTGTGTAACAGGATGTAGAGTCATCCCATGGATGACATCCTTAAACTGTCAGGGTTTAATCTCTGGTCATGTTAACAAGGTGTTCGATGTCCGATCACAAGTTTCGAATCCCAACACGGGACAGGCCACATGCGCCTAAAGCTCATGTTATACAAATGTTACACCTGGTATTTGCTATTCGCGATACCGAAACATCCTCTGCTAAATTAATGTCTTTTTCTATTGTGTTACAGGTGAGTTTAGTAACTGGCGTTGGAATGGCGGGGGTTGGGATGGGCACCTTCTTCCTGCCACCCCTGACTCAGTATCTGGTGGACATTTATGGACTTGAAGGATGCTTCCTCTTCTTGGGAGCAATAGCGTTCCATGCAGCAGTGTTCGGGGCCCTGATGAGACCTTCTGACCTTGAGACGGCGTTAGCAGTCAGTGCCAAGTCAGGGAAAACCCTCTGTCAACAAATCCTTACTTCTTTGTGTGGACAATGTGGCCGTGTGGGGGAGATGTTCCATCCAGCGTTTCTCCTGCTGCTGTTGGCAACGTTTTCCTTCAGTGTGGGCAACTTCATCTCCTACCTCTTCCTCCCCGACATCTTCATCAAACAAGGCTCGTCTCCTCAACAAGCTTCCTTCCTCATCTCCGTCGTTGGAATAGGGGGAGCCCTGTCCAGACTCCTTGGGGGGTTCGCTGCCAACGATCCAAATATAGGACCTTCTATTCTATTCTCAGGAACATATGGTGTCATCGCAACCATAGACTTTTTTATAACGCCAATGACGAAGACAATAGTTGGAAAAGTAGCGTATGCCTTTATGTTCGGCTTGTATGCCTCAGTTGGCTGGGTGCTGGTCAACCCCCTCACTCTGCACATTGTTGGGGTCAGGAACCTCGCCTCTGCCTACGGGATTGTGATGTTAGCCTCAGGAATAGGTATCTTGGTTGGGCCTCCAGTAGCAAGTAAGTGTTTTCTATTGATACTCTGCAGTCTCGTAATTTTAAATAATATTCAAGCTTATGGCGGGCAGTAAATAATCCTGACAATCCAGTGATTGACATCATGAGTATAGATCAAAGTAATTGGGATATGATTTCTAGGAACCCAAATGCTCCCAACGATAATGACATGGTGGCTGTGTGGAAATAGTTCATCTTATCAAAGAGGATGTCGCCCGGTGTCGGATCCTTATGGGTGCAATGTTTAAGTGCAACGTCAGTTGTAATTCCTTTATTATCCAATACTTTGTCTGGTCCAGCCTGGTTTGAAGACTATGCTATGTTTCTTGTTTATTTTTAGTGTCACTCTCGACATTATGCCACCTACACGAAGGTGGTATTAATCGTGTCTGATCCAGCCATCCAGTGACTGATATAAAAAACAATGTTCAGCACCGTCGGGGCACGTTAAGACGCCATCAACCCTGTAGCCTCTCACGACCAGCATAGGTTGCTGGGGGCACATTCTACCCCGCGTTCAAAAGAAGCTGACCAGCACTGGGGTGCTGCGGACACTTTCTACTTCATGTCCCGATGGGGCTGACCAGCAATGGGGTGCTGGGGACACTTTCTACTCAAGGTCCACATGGGGCTGACCAGCATTAGGGTGCAAGGGACACATTCTACCCCACGTCCCCACAGGGGCTGACCAGCAATGGGGTGCTGGGGACACTTTCTACTCAAGGTCCACATGGGGCTGACCAGCATTAGGGTGCAAGGGACACATTCTACCCCACGTCCCCACAGGGGCTGACCAGCAATGGGGTGCTGGGGACACTTTCTACTCAAGGTCCACATGGGGCTGACCAGCATAAGGGTGCAAGGGACACATTCTACCCCACGTCCCCACAGGGGCTGACCAGCAATGGGGTGCTGGGGACACTTTCTACTCAAGGTCCCCACGGGGCTGACCAGCATTAGGGTGCAAGGGACACATTCTACCCCACGTCCCCACAGGGGCTGACCAGCAATTGGGTGCTGGGGACACTTTCTACTCAAGGTCCACATGGGGCTGACCAGCATTAGGGTGCAAGGGACACATTCTACCCCACGTCCCCACAGGGGCTGACCAGCAATGGGGTGCTGGGGACACTTTCTACTCAAGGTCCACATGGGGCTGACCAGCATTCGGGTGCAAGGGACACATTCTACCCCACGTCCCCACAGGGGCTGACCAGCAATGGGGTGCTGGGGACACTTTCTACCCCGGGTCCCCACGGGGCTGACCGGCAAATGGGTGTAAGGGACACTTTCTACCCCGGGTCCCCACGGGGCTGACCGGCAAATGGGTGCAAGGGACACATTTCACCCCGAGTCAAGACTGGATTATTGATACTTCAGGGACCCGTTCCACAAAGCTGAGGTGATCGTAACTCTCTTATTTAAACGTGGACATATGACTGACTTAGCACCGCGATCGCTTTGTGGAACTGGGATCTGGAATATTGCTAAGTGCAGTGTAAAACAGCAAACACAATATCTATTTCTTTACAGGTATCATCGCTGCAGTACACGGGAAATATCAAGAAGCCTTTTACTTTGCTGGTAAGTGCTGATAACTGATATGATGTATAACCTGGGGCGATGTAACGTGGTTCTTCACGGGTGTAATCCGTATTTCACTTTGTTTGACAAGGCAACCTTTACATCACCTTTTGTTTGGGCAGACCAGTGTTTACTGTTCGCCACACGACAACATTGTACAGCAAATATCCACCTCCTGAAGGTATAGTGCGGAGTAGCAGGTATATTTCCCTGTGATGTGACAAGGGTTTACTGTGTGCCACACTACAACATTGTACAACACATATCCACCTCCTGAAGGTATAGTGCGGAGTAGCAGGTATATTTCCCTGTGATGTGACAAGGGTTAACTGTGTGCCACACTACAACATTGTACAGCAAATATCCACCTCCTGAAGGTATAGTGCGGAGTAGCAGGTATATTTCCCTGTGATGTGACAAGGGTTTACTGTGTGCCACACTACAACATTGTACAGCAAATATCCACCTCCTGAAGGTATAGTGCGGAGTAGCAGGTATATTTCCCTGTGATGTGACAAGAGTTAATGGTTTTATGCATGTACAAACTAAAACATTTTATGAAAAAAACACCATCCCTTTTCTTTGATGTAAACTAAAAATGTATACATTCAGACGTTTTAAAGGTGATCAGGTACCCACATTGCACCGTTATTCACGGCTGACCCTGGCTTACTATGAAACACGGACAAGGCATGTTTCAAGTCAAGAATATATTCTGAACGTTCCTTTTAAGGGTAAAGCACTGAAAACCAAGAATATACCAAAATTCGGGGGGACGAGGTTGTCAAACAGCTAGTCCTTTAACACAGACGCTGGCAAATCCGGATAGTGTTGATCTTGGCGTACTGGAAAAAGTTTTTGGCAACAATGTTTCATATAATTAAAAAATAATTAACTGTTTTCCTCTGGCACATCTATGGGTTTAGTTTTCTTAAAAACTGAAATCGTATTAACGAAATTGGAATGCATAGGAGTTGTACCTGATTGAATACCCTTAAAAGTTGGTAAGATATCAATATCGTTTGGATTGACTGACTCAATATTAAATAGGCTGTATAGACTTATCTTTTACAGTCTATAGAGATAACCCCGCACCCCCCACCCCCCACTCCCCCAACCAACCCGTCCTACTTATGGTACTTATCATGCCAACACGTAACTAGAGAACACTTAAACCTCCTTGTTACCCCTTTATAAAAAGAAAACTGACTGAAGTCTGTAAAATACCTTGATACAAAAATCGTTATTTTCGTTAAAGGTTCAACGTTTTTTGTGTCGTCCATGTGTGGCCTGATGATCATGCTGCTGAAGAAGACGCACTCGGACCTGGCGGAGGAGAAGTCCGACATCCCAGAGTTACAGAGTCTGACAGACGGGAAGGACCACGCCAATCAGGCTGACGGAATCACTCTCGTCATCCAGCCTCCGAGCACAGGCCACGCCCCCATTCCAAGTGCACCTTTCCGAGATGATGACATGTGGAATGAGCATTCATGCTTTCAGTGAGTGAGTGAGTGAGTTGGGTTCAACGCCGCTTGAACATTATTTCAGTTATATCAAGGCTGGTCAGCTGGATTCGGGGGGAAACGATTAAACGTTTACCACTTTAATGATACCCATGTGCTGTCAAACCTAGAAACATAGTCAGGAAGAATATGAGATTTGAACACAAGATCCAAGCTTTCTGATGACAAATGGGACGCAACTTTCCATGTCGCCTTAGAAGACAGGAACACATGTGTCCCCGGGTGTATCGAAGTCGGATGTCCCGAAGGGACTAATACAACAAAGTCAATGTTGATCCTCTAGTGTGGATGAAGATCTTTCGCGATGCTCAACATCAACAAATATGGTCCCCATCAAAGTTGGATTTAACTCAGGGTCGATTATACTGAAGCCAGGACTTATTCTTTACAAATGCCATAGTGCTGTAAACATATCAAGTATAACTCTGGGTAGACTTTTTCAAATTCACTGAAGGTGGTCGGGTAGCCCAGTGGTTAAAGCGTTTGCTTGTCACCCGAAATGGGTACACTGTGTGAAGCCCATTTCTGGTGTCCCCGCCATGATATTGCTGGAAAATTGCTAAAATTGCCGTAAAACAATACTCACTCACTCCATAATGTTCATCGGTGGTTGTGATGAATATCATCATCATTTTAGTTCCAATACATATAGGCTACACGCCTTTAAGTACAAAATGTGAGTACAGACAAGTTTTAAACATTCAGTTTGGCATTTCTTACTTCATTTGGAGAGCATAGATATTTTGCTAGATTTGTAATATTATATGTATCTGGTGATGACAGAAGCATATTAAATTGATGAACGTTTGAATGACAATAGAACTTTGCTTTGAGATATAGTTGCCGTAACTTGACATACGATGGACAAATGAGCAGGAATTGGTAGTCAGTTTCAACACAGTTTAATTAACAAAGTTTGCATTTTCTTAAATTTCTTGGAATTTTATCATTTCCAAAGTATGATAACTCCGTCTTAATCTCGGTAGGGTTGCTTTCCTATTTTGCAAATTTAAGAATGACAAATAAGGTTCGCTTTTTACACAAGTTCCAAAACAAGCATAATATAACTTTTTTTTTAACTTGCAACAAGTTCGCTGTGCCAGATCTGCTGAAATTTGTCTTTCAACTGTTGTTGAAACATATTAAGAAAAACCTATCGGTTTCCATACATTTGGAACCTCCATACATCTCCGAACCCAAGTTTACAAAGACAATTCCTTAATTTAGTTACCCAATTGACACGACCATGTTCATCATACAGGTACAACATATTGTAGCACTTTCTTGGTGAACGGAAGTCTGGCATCTTTAGTATGTTCAGCCATTATTTCAAACATCTTGTCAAAGCATATACACGAATATGGCATCTGCCACACTCGCCCAAGTACAGCATTGTTCGATGCGGACATTGTTAACACCCAAAACCGTTTGCATGCATATAACTGCACAGTTTCCAATTTTTCAACATTTCAAACCCCTAGACCTCGAACATTTGGAAGTAGAAATCTGGTGAAATAGGTTGTAGCGAATGTATACGTCTCAGGATAGTTAACATACCCTTTTCGCCTGCAGGGCAATCTTATCAAAAGATCATCTCAAGGACTATTTCATTTATAAAGAACTGGAACAAGAACGGATTAAGTACACAGCCTTGCCTGACACCTAAAGGGCATCGAATACCTCAGACATACGATTGTTAGACCTTACACTTGCTTTAACATCCTTGTAGATTGACTGCAATGTTCTACCCATTTGTTTACTTAATCCCCGTTTATAAAACATCATGTTCAATATAAAGAGCTATATCGATGTGTGGTGTACCGATTAGCTATAGCAATGGAATAGTGTTTTCTTTGTCAAATTTATTTAGATTTTATTCGGTTGATGCAAAAAATTATCCCTTAGCTTAAGCTTATTGCACTTACATAGCGACGCGCGCGCGCGCGCGCGTGTGTGTATTCTAGCTAGTGTATGTGTTTGTGTGTGTGTATTCTAGTCCGCACAAATGCCGATTTTATAGTACTAGTGCTAGCCCACTGAGATACCATGCCACAGTTCAACACGAATATCCCACACAGAAACTGTATACTGATTCCGACCAGTGCTTGTTTTGGCCCCATATTGCCACGAGCCAGGCAGGGTAACAAAAGGATCCATCGCTTAATGTCTTATTGGTATGACGCGGCCGGGGATCGAACCCTCGACCTTCCGCTCCCCGGGGCGAGACTCCATCCACTGGACCACGGAAGCGGCCTTCAACTGTTTAAAGACAATCACATACAGTGTATTCAAATAGCGCTCACTGTGTGAACAGCAGATTATGTAAATATATTTTGAATATACAGAGAATCTCACCCAAGTGTCATTTGATATCAAATATATCAACACGAGCTAATGAAAGTGGTAAAACCCCCTTACTGAGGAGTTTTTCCACTTTTATCAACGAGTCACTCGGGTGAGATTTTATTTATCATCCGACATCATTCTTCCAACCTTTTCATTTTGTAGACAGTAATAAGCAGTGTCTTATCGCTTGATCTCACCCAAGCGGTATCTCCTGTGGGAGCCAGTTTACAATATCTTCTTTAGCACCCAGCGTTCGCGCTTCACTGCGTCACGAGGGTATGGATAGTCTGTGGCTTCCAAGTGTCTGTGATGGCGGTTAGCCTGGACGGGGTGCAATGCTGCTCGCACAGGTTAAGCCGTGAAGAGTTCTCCCCCTTTAAACAGTGTCCATGGTGGGATGTGAATGAACATTTATCCTTGCGTTGTTTGCTGACGTATTTGACAGTCATCGAAAACACAAACGTTCTGCTGGTCATGGGGTGTGACATCCCTCATCGATAACTTAATGTGCAGACTTCAAAGTAACTTTCCGATGTACTGAGTGCGGAAAAACATTATTCAGAAGGATGAAGTGTTTCAGCATCTATACACGAGTTGTGTCCCTTTGGTAGCTTTACCAACTACACCCGATATGCACTACGGGACAGTTCCTTACCATCCTGTGGAATTCTGGGATGAAGCCCATAATAGGCCAGTCATACGATGTGACGAATGGACACGAAAGGTGCAGATAATCCATGTGCAAATTATAGCAATATGCGGGGAAGACCAAATATATCCCCCTGTTCATAATATGGACTTGTCCGACATTGCCACATCCACTCGTTTATTTCTTTAGTAACTTTCTGAGTGCGGAAAAACATTGTCTGGGAGTCAGTGATAAAGTGTTTCACACCTATGGATGTATACACGAGTTGTGTCCCTTTGGTAGCTCTCCCAATCACACCCCACGTGCACGTGCAGGGACAGTTCCTTGCCATCCTGTGAAGTGCCCGGATGGATGGCCAGTCTCGTTCATTGCCTGTCATCGTACTCCGACGCTCCGGCGAGACGCTCATTATATCAACCACTGGTTTATCTGACCCTGAATAACAACAAAGAATTTATCACTCAGCTTTTTGAGAGATAAAATAAGTTTTAAGTCTTCAACAAAAGACTGTGTCCAAACATATCGATTGATTTTTTACATACTAACATCCACCTGATGCTAAGGCATTTTAGCTTACAGTAACACATATTCTCCCCGATTTCAAACTGGCTCCGAAAGCATATTTTTTTTAAACACATATTATTTCCGAAGGGATACACTTTCAACACATATTAGTAGATGCCGATTTCATACAATTATAACACACTTTTCCCGGTGCCTAAAGTTATTAAGTACTGAATAGTTTTAATACACACAATTTTATCTTGATTGAATTCGAGATTAAATACAACGACCATCTTTCAGAATACGCACGCACCGTCCATCGACATCGCATATTTGGTAAATATATATCAACAGACGGTGATATATTTCAAAGTTGTTGAAATATATAGGCCTGATCCAAATCCTTTCCGACAATTTGTCCTTAAGTCACAGCTGTTGTGGGGATACTTGTGCTCTAGCTTGAGTCACCGATAGACACGTCACTGTGTGTTTCACTGACGTGGGTCTGTACCAATAGCTATAGGGGGCACGGGTGGCCCAGTTGTCTAAGGCGCCGCGATTCGCTGTGCAGAGTTGCGTCCCTTGGCCACGCCAGAAACCTTTTGGGTTCGAATCCCAGTTCGCCCAGATTATGTTTCTAGGTTTGTCAGCACCATACCCATGCTCGTGGGTTTCAACGAAGTGACGTACTTCTGAGACCTGCAACACTTCGGGTTTTCCTCCCATATTAAGCTGACACGCCGTGATATAACTTGAATACTTTTTAAAAGGCGGCGTCAAGCCCAACTCACTCACTCACCAAGTTTCAATACTTGTGGAATATTGTCCGTCAGTAGCCACAAGAGTACTCAAAGTTTGTCTATTTGCATCAACACACCTCCAATCATCACGTGGCAGAAGTATTACAAGGATTCACTTTCTTCATCCGGGGTCTGCGAAGTCATTATAGTTAGCATTCGTGACCCAACTCATGTTATTCCGGTACAAGCCGAATAGCGACTCGAGCCCCTCTCATGGCCATTTTTGCGACCGGGTTCCGTCTTAGCGCAAACGGGCATACCTAAACCAATTGTCAACTCGTTGCGTAATGGTTGACATTTATTTCCCCATAAATTATATATATTTCAGATGCAATTAAAAGCACACCGAAACATGCGGAATTATACAGTATGATTGAACACATTTAACTGTGTCTTGGGTATATTTTTAGATGCAAGACATATGTAAAATAAAAAATATTTCTGAGGGATTCTTTGACGAAGAACTTGAAATCATACGCGCATTCTGATTGGTTTGTCGTATTTTCGCACATAACATTCATCGATAGGGGGACGAGTCTTCTTGCAGGCTACGGAAAGGGGCGAGTGGTGACGAATGTATAGTTAGGTGTGGTACCGGTTCGCTTGTCAATGACGCAATTTGAGATAAAAAAACACGTGTGTCGCCAGTAGGAATCGAGCCCTAGAAGTCCGCACCGAAAGCTTACAAATGTAACTCTTGCCGCAAGGATGTTGAATAGGATGCACCGAATGTACAGCAGACACGCTGATCCGGATATAAGGAATAAAACTTCGGAGGGAGGATGCACCTGTTTGGGGTCAGATGCTGGTACGCCTTTGATTATAGTCTTTTTCAGATAACGTGTGTTCAGGCTTATGGTAACTTTACCTGTGACAATACAGTTGGAGGGTCATCACAGCAACACCTTATTAATTCCGGCGTTGTTACTTGCGTGAATAATATCATAAACATTCTGTCCAGACTGGGAATATTCCTAATAACTCTTTTCAAAGTCCAAGTTAGTATCTTTGACATTATGTTTCTTCCTGAATTCTGCAAAAGACATTAGCCTTTCCAGTTGGATAGATCTTTATTGTATATACACCCTTATTGAGTTATAAAGATACATAAAGGCATATATGACTGTACCAACACACGTGCTAGTGAGCAGACCCACACAGAACTGCGTATTCTTCATTGTACAGATTGCCGCTGTAAATTTGCCCGATGTGGCGTTGTAATTATTTATTACCCATATGGGCTCAAATATACGGTGGCCCATACCCGCCACTGGTCACATCCCTCTTTATTTTATCTCACCAGTGGAATTTTGGGCGGCCGCCAGATAAAATATAGAGGCATACAGTGAAAATTGATCTCACCAGTGGCGGGTATGGGCCACCGTACAAATAAGCAGTGTAATATCTTTTTGATATATGCACAATGTGCAATTAGTGATTCTCGAAGCTGATTGGTCAGTTGACCAAAGATCAATTTTCATTGGACAAGGGGACTATTTTTGTCTCATCTCATTCATTCACAAATCCACGCCTTTCATTCAGATGTTTTACGTGCTGCAATCTCACTGATTGG